TTAAATTTTGAAATAAAAATGAGGGGTCCCCATGTTCGTTTAGGAGCAAAAGCACCTTGTTTATATCCATGTAAATCCTTATAATAGCAACATGATTGTAGTCACGATTGCTTGCTAAATTCACGTTTCCGACGATTGCTTTTTGTTCTACTCTGAGAATTGGTCCATATTTATTTTACACCGAGAAATTTATTACTCAATTCAAAACAACAGAAAAAAAAATGATAGTTCACCATACTCGTTTGCGAGAAAATGACGATTTACCTCTATGGCGAGGTCAGCTGTAAAGTAAAAGCTGCCATTTTTTAATGCGCGCGCTATATCACGCGTGAAATTATGCGCAGTAGGGATGCGCAATGCAATACTGGAGAATAACCTTAAATTCTTTGTTCCCAGTAACTAGTGCTTTTGCAAGGTCAGATTTACTTTCTTGCATACCCGCAAGCAGTCTATCTTGTTCCTTTGACATAATGCTCATATACCCTAGAAAGGGTAAACAAAAATGGTCAATCAATCAGTTTAATAACTTTTCCTGACACTCTTTATTTACCAAGTGATGAAAAATTCCATGATGAGGTTTTGGAAGGCAGACTAGTCTTCTACTTATCATAATATAGTAGCAAGTAAATTGTTTGGAGGAATATATGTATATATGAATATACCGGTATATACAGTATATGAAAAATGCAACAATGCAAAAACCATCACTCCACAACATCACTCCACAATCCCAGTTTTACTAGAGTCCAGTCCGGTCCATTGAACATGTCTTCCTTGAGTGCGATCTCACGCGGTAAGAAAATTATGAAAAACGCTCCATGACTAGGAAACTGTTGACCCTCGGAGCGGTTTACATTATCGTTAACATCAGGTTCAACTGGTCTCTATGCGATTACTGTAATCGTAGCGTTTCAAACTTCAATAACAAGTGGGCTTACATCGTAGTCAGGTTTGCTCGAAATTAATCTAAAATAGTTTAAGTTCTTTAAAAAAACAGTTGCAGACGAGTAATGTGGAGATTCGACGTTACCTCATATTTTTTGCCTAATCAAAACCCTTTTTACAGGAAGAACAAAGATGTATTTTCTGAACATTTATAATAAAGTTTCCATATAACGCGCGCTCTGATTGGCTGAAAGAGCGTGCTTTATCAGAGAACAGAGCACGGGTTGATGACGGTAAGTTGGCTTTCAAATTTTTGCTTCGGAATGTTGACAAATTTGCCCCAAATTAAACATCCCCTGTGATTCAGACAAACGCAATGGAAACGA